ACCTCAAATGATTAGTGCGTTGTCCTAGATTTTTTTTTATTACACTTGTTGAAAATCGGTTAGAAGTCAACACGTTAAGAATAACATCTGTACGATTTGATGGACAGTAAGATATGTAATTTGCTCTGCTGTAACAGTTTATGACAGTAACTCTTCACACAGATTTTGAAACTATGTTATATTTGTTATGCATGTATGATATGGATTCTAAATCGATGCCCTATTTATCATTGTGAAATTCATTGTAAAATATTCCCAAGCAGGCCACTAAAACGGTTTTATATGGCATATTCTAAGAACTGATGCCCTATTTATCATTGTTTAATTCATTGTAAGATATTCCAAACCAGAACACTAAAGTGGTTTTGTAAGACATTATATGTAATGTTTGATGTTTTTAGAACATAATGCAACATCTGCCATTCTTTTTCTGATTTGCAGATTATACAAATTCATGGTTGTAGAGATGTCTTGTTTACAGCAGAGAGTTTCAGCAGCTTAATTTGTCAAAGATGATAATGTGAACTGTGGCTTTTATTTCTATATACAATGTACTGGAATTACCTGGAAACGAACTGGGGCAAGTTGTTCTAAACCTTAATAATTAACTAGTCAATAACTCATTTACCCCCTGAAGACACATTTGAACTCTTTCAATTGAAAGGTTGGAATAGTCCATTATGAAATTTTAGGGGTGAATGAGTTAAGGTAAATATTAACACTCAACTTGACTTGGACTATTGGTGCTGTCACCGAGGGCTGTCCCAAAATAAAGAATATCTACTGTACAACACGAAATTTTTATGGGTGTTTTCCTTCGTGATTTGAAGCCTTTTAAATTGTTTCGTGGTAAATACTTCCGTGGATATCCTATATTAACAAACAGTAGACACATGTATCATTCAAATTTGTTGTATTTATTTTTGTGGTTCAATAACAACCACGAAAACCACATTTGTTTGTACAAAACAAACATTTCATGTTATACAGTATACGGTTATTTTTAGACCCTATTTGTAGGTCCCACACACGTTGTGAACGAGGCTTGGAGTTGAATCCGCACTTTCGAGGACACTGTTGTTCAAATGTTGTTAAAACAATGACCAACTCAGACTATAGCTTTCATCTGGTTATGAGCTGAAATATCTAGGATGACCAGACAAGGTACAGTAGAACCTTGTTAGTCTGGACACTTTGGTTTATGTGTACAGTAGAACCTTGTTAGTCTGGACACTTTGGTTTGTGTGTACAGTAGAACCTTGTTAGTCTGGACACTTTGGTTTATGTGTACAGTAGAACCTTGTTAGTCTGGACACTTTGGTTCATTGGTACAGTAGAACCTTATTAGTCTGGATACTTTGGTTTATGTGTACAGTAGAACCTTGTTAGTCTGGACACTTTGGTTTATGTGTACAGTAGAACCTTGTTAGTCTGGACACTTTGGTTTATGTGTACAGTAGAACCTTGTTAGTCTGGACACTTTGGTTTATGTGTACAGTAGAACCTTGTTAGTCTGGACACTTTGGTTTATGTGTACAGTAGAACCTTGTTAGTCTGGACACTTTGGTTTATGTGTACAGTAGAACCTTGTTAGTCTGGACACTTTGGTTTATGTGTACAGTAGAACCTTGTTAGTCTGGACACTTTGGTTTATGTGTACAGTAGAACCTTGTTAGTCTGGACACTTTGGTTTATGTGTACAGTAGAACCTTGTTAGTCTGGACACTTTGGTTTATGTGTACAGTAGAACCTTGTTAGTCTGGACACTTTGGTTTATGTGTACAGTAGAACCTTGTTAGTCTGGACACTTTGGTTTATGTGTACAGTAGAACCTTGTTAGTCTGGACACTTTGGTTTATGTGTACAGTAGAACCTTGTTAGTCTGGACACTTTGGTTTATGTGTACAGTAGAACCTTGTTAGTCTGGACACTTTGGTTTATGTGTACAGTAGAACCTTGTTAGTCTGGACACTTTGGTTTATGTGTACAGTAGAACCTTGTTAGTCTGGACACTTTGGTTTATGTGTACAGTAGAACCTTGTTAGTCTGGACACTTTGGTTTATGTGTACAGTAGAACCTTGTTAGTCTGGACACTTTGGTTTATGTGTACAGTAGAACCTTGTTAGTCTGGACACTTTGGTTTATGTGTACAGTAGAACCTTGTTAGTCTTGACACTTTGGTTTATGTATACAGTAGAACCTTTTTAGTCTGGACACTTTGGTTTGTGTGTACAGTAGAACCTTGTTAGTCTGGACACTTCCTTCATTTTTGACACTTGTTTGTTCACTTTGTTAGTTCAGTCACTTTGGTTTATTTGTACAATGGAATCTTGTTAGCCCAGAAATAAGATATTAATTTAAACTTTTGTTTTTCATAACAATTATGAAATAAGTCTTATTAACATATATTAATCACTCGTGCTGTCTAGAATGGAAATCAGATTAGCCAGAGAAATTGAACCCTATAATGGCTGTCTTGGTGAAATGCAAATGCGCCATCCACTTCTCCACTTAACCACCCAAGATTCCATACAGTTGTTTGTGTGTATGGTGAAACCTTGTTCGTCAGAACAATTTTTGTGTGTGTATAGTAGAACCTCTTTTATCTGGACACTTTCTTTGGTGTACAGTAGAACGGGTATTGCCGAGACACAGTACAAATATGTAAACAGTTGACCAGAATCAATGAATCTGTAATGTGCCGACACATTCTCTCATTAGTGATAGGTTTCTTTATGGGTATGACCGAGCACTAAAGATGTCAAATCTGTTTTTACGACCTCGGAAAATTATACCTTTGACAAGTTACCCTCTTAGACAAGGGACAGAGATTTCCTGTTATATTTCTATCTCTTCAAGGTTGATGAACAATTTTTTCGCAGATATTATTGGCTTCACGATATTAGTTTATGTTAATAACACTCTTGGTCACTGCGCAAGGTTTTTTATGTGGTATGATTATATATAATGGGAACAGGGAACGACTTTTACACTTTGATGTTATTTCACTGACCAAACATCTCAGATTTTATTGTTGGTAAAGCATTATTTTGAGAGTGCTCTTGGCCAATACTCCTTTCCTGTATGAGTATTTGACCATATGACTTTACCCTTTCCAATGTAGAAATGTGTATACGCTAACAGCTTGTTTCATCAAAACTTTGTTATAATGCCCCTGGTTTATATACATTTTAATTAGGCATCCATGCCATTTAAATTATTTCTTGCGTGTGGCATGGACTTTATGCCATATCACTCTTACACTAATTTTGTTTTTGTTTTTTTGTGCTATATTGTTGTTTTCTTGCTTACAAGTGATACTTGTGCATTCTGTGATATATATGTATGTTATATGTATGCATTGTGTTTTGCTTGCCTAGAAGTGGTACTTGTGCATTCTGTGATATGGTCCTCTCCAGTCCTTTATAGACATTAAAACCTTGATATAATATCCTTCCTTTAAAGACAGTAAAACCTTGATATAATGCCCCTCCTTTATAGACAGTAATTAAAACCTTGATATAATGTCCTTCCTTTATAGTCAGTAAAACCTTGATATAATGTCCTTCCTTTATAGACAATAAAGCCTCTATATAATGCCCCTCCTTTATAGACAGTAAAACCTTGATATAATGCCCCTCCTTTATAGACAGGAAAACCTTAATGTCCTTCCTTTATAGACAGTAACCTTGATATAATGTCCTTCCATTATAGTCAGTAAAACCTTGATATAATGTCCTTCCTTTATAGACAGTAATTAAAACCTTGATATAATGTCCTTCCTT